AGCTTCACAGATGCCCCAAAGCAGTATTAAGGCACAAGCTGATGTGTGTACTCTCCCTTTCCCTTATTCCATTCACTCACTCTCTCGCCTCTGTGGGCAGCATCTGTTTTATGAGAAGCTTCTCTTGGAAAACTGCAAAATAGGAACAGTAAGCTTGGGTAAGCTCTTTCTACTGAGGTGATATATGCTTTTAAATATCCTTTCCCTCATTTTCAGTACTGCATGGACTTTTGGAAAAGGACATGTGAGAATTATCAGGATTGAAAATGACTAAATATTGTTATTTGAAGATTATTTTTCTATTGTCTGGTATTTACTTGTGGGTTGTACTGCTTTTCAGATCTTTGCATCATTAAAATCTTTGGAACTTATAATATATTTTAATTTAAAGCACAAAATTGAATTGGCAGTGCATAATTCAGTATTTTTTGGTTTTGGATGAAAGTTTATAGAATGATCTGAAAGATTCCTTCACTGCTACAGATTGTATGGTTGATTCTTAAATATGGTATGCTATTTTACTTTGTTTTGGTTCTAAAATTGGCAGTGTTTAAAATTCTGATGATTAAATTATGAGAAAATTTATTTTCCACTTAAACCATAATTGTTTGATTCCTATTTCTATCTGTGTTACTTTCCAGAGTCCAGTCCAAAACCCTATGGGTTTTTTGAGACTTAATATTTCAAGATTTTGACACTAAATGACACAGCAAAAATATTAGAGGTAATGCTAAACCAAGATAGCAACATACTTTGAAGATACTTAGATATGATAGAGTGTGAGCATAATATAGTAGTAGAATAATAATAATATGCACTCAGATTTAGTTAGGGAAATTAGATACTTATTTCAGGAAAATTGGTATATTCTTATGAAACAATTGATACAAAATTTTCATTTGGCATGTGGAATATTTTATACTACATACTACATACAACAACTACTCCTGTTTTCCAGGGATTGATTTATTTGTTTAGTTCTTTCTTTCACCACAGTGATTTAGAATGGGAGCTAGTGGATTTTAATCAGCTTGATGTATCGTGTTTGATAGAAAGAAGCCTATATTATAGCTTAGGCTTTCTTTTCTGCAAACTGATTTTAGATGAAAACGTGGTTTTTGGCATGATGACTTGCAAATATTAAATAAATTTAATAACAATAAATACATAATTAGAGAACTTCTCATTCAAGAGATGGAAGTGAACAAAGAAGCTGCAATAGCAGCTACATAAAAGAATTCTCCAGGGTTAACGGTTAACTTGTCCATTACCCTGGGATTTCCTGATCCGATTTCTAGTGTATAAGCAACCTCCCTACCCACATTTTTTTTCAGATATATTGAGATACTTAAATGTGCAAGGGAGTTTCAATATTACCCCTATAATTAAAGAGGACGATCCAGTCCCAGGCCACTAAAAACATGTTTATCATTCTTATTCTTGATTGCAGCACTTCTGAAATTGCCTAGAAAATTCTAATAAGGCAGCCTGAGATTGGATGGGCATATTGCTTTTTTAAAATACAATATTTATGCTTTCATTAATTGCCCTTACATTCATTTTTATAAAGAAATGTTGATTAACAATACCAAAAACATAAAGCATTGGGAGGTAAAATGTAATATAGGATATAAAATAAATAACATGAAACATTAACATGATTATGTAAACATATGGATATGACCCACATCTGATCCTACCGGCTCTTGCTGATAGTCAGTTCCTGATATTAAAGAGGAGCAGCTACAGTTGAACGCTGGAGTCTACAGATATTTTTTTTGTGTTTGATATAACAGCTTTACCGTGGGCATCTTTGGATGCAGTATCTTATTTTACTGGCATCTTAAAGACAATAAAAAGCCTGTAATTTGCTTCATTTTATAAATATAAAAGGTTTTTGTAGCCTGTGGTGCAGCTCAGAAATGGATTAACTGAAATGGAAGAACTATACAACTTTCCTCTGTGAGCTCAAGAATATAATTTGCATTAAATTACTCAGCTTTACATTTCATGCACATCTGTTGTACACATATTTTAATGCTCTGGTCTTTAGGCATACTTTGGTAGAAAAGGCTCTTGGTTCCCTGGCAACTTTAACTGCCTATAGAACCTCTTTTTGTGGGATGTTGTTACTTCTAAGGAATAGGTGATTATGTTCTCATCCTTATTTTCTTCAGTTTCTTGCCATGAAACCTGCAAATCTGCATGTCAGTGTTGCAGTTAAGTCTGTTTTATCATCATGCCTCTTTACAGTCTTTTTTTTTGACATTAAGAGAGGATTTTGCAGTAAATGTATAGCCGTTTGTTGGGATCCCATCAACAAATGGAGTATAGTCATTAGATTTTGAATAAATATATATAAATTGTCAAGTGTTTTACCAAATACATTACATTTTTCCCCTAAAAAGGATGTAGGGATAGGAAGAGAAAGAACAGCAGCATAATGCCCACTCCTTTTAAAGTTAAAAGAATATATTTTTTCTTCCCTGTCTTTCTAGACTATGTTTATATTTGTCTATCGCTATATTTTTACTAGTATAGTAAAAAGCTATTTTCCGGGGAACTTGGCTCCTGAAATGTGTAACAATTAAATGAATTACCTGTACTTCTTCTAGGGATATTGGATTGTGTTGTTTCCAAAACATAAATATTATTACTGAAAAATTAACCTAATTTTAAGCTTCCTTGTAGCGGTACTCTATTTCAGTAGATATGTAGAATTTAAAAAACTTAGCTAGATTTACATTAATTCACAAATTTAGCATTTAACTCTACTTTATGAAACATTTGCACTTCTTGAGAAGGATGACTGATGTCCTGGCATATCTGATTCAGTAAAGAGAGTGGTAGAATATCCCCTCCAGAAAAAGGTTTTCTGATGTATTATTATCCATATCCCTTAATTTTCTTCTGATCTCTTAAGCTTTCCGTAGTAAAAGTAATATCTGATGGGAAAATGTAACCGTGCCATGTCCTAAATTAGAGAGAAATATGGAAAGTTTTTCCCACAAGGTGCTATCAGAATTATAAATGCTACTGCGCACTTCATTTGTTTTATGTTTTTCTATGCCAAAGCAAAGGGGGAGTAGAGCAAGCCAACCTAGAAACATGTAGAACACAGAGGAAAAGGAGCCACTCATGAGTGAATAACATGTACTTTTTCTCTATTAGGCCATTCAGCCCATATGACAACTTGATCACTGAAAAGGAATGATAGGAGATTTGCGAATAAATGCTTGCTGGATGGCTGCCGGCCAGTCTCAGTCCAACTGTCTGAATGTGCTACATTCTATTAGCACAGATGGATGGATGTGAAAACTGGCCATCGGTGAAGTTCTAAGAGCTTTCCCTGAATAATGGATGAATGTTTCTGTCCTAATGGCAAACAAGACTGCATAGTCTGTGGATTTCGCTTATTTTTCTACATTGGCATAATTATTTAAGTATTCTTAATTCAAATAAAGTACATTAAACTTTTTAAAACTATGTTGAAATTTTATAATAGGTTTCTAGAATTGGGAAAAAATAAATAGAAAACATTGTTACTTTTTTGTTTGATCATGAGATTATTGTTAATTTTGGAAGGTATTAGAATGTAGAGCTGGGCAAAGATGTGAATTTGTGGAGGATAAAATTTAAGCATGCACATAGTATGTATTGGAAATATATTGTACAAATTGAGATATATTTTTTTTCAGGATTGCATATGAACAGTGGAGGGCAGCATTGTAAGCTTAGGAAAAGATAAATCTGCTTTAACGTCTACCAAAGGATTTCTAACCAATCCAGCTATGTTCTTAGCTCTTTGAATCTGTGTGTTGAGATTCAAATACTTAACCTCTTTTTGTCTTGGGGAGTGGGGGTTGAAGCTAAAGCATTTGAGTATTATTATTGCATTCCTCTAATCCTCTCCTACCCAATGAAACTCTTCAAATGTGTTGATCCATAAATAGAATGAAAACATGGTTGAATTTGAAAATCTGGTACTGACCCAAATAGAACAAATAAATTATTCTTACATTTAAATGCCATATCATGGAGTTTGCATAAATGCACTACAATGTAAAAAGCTGTTCCAAGTTTTATCACTTTTTCTATGAATATAAATTGCCTAGATTTTTATTCAGTAGTAACATTACTGTTTTGTTTATTAAAATTCAGAACTTGGTTATAATACCAGTAAGCGCTACTGCATACAGTTAGTCTTTGCTTAACAACCATTTGTCCAGCGACTATGCCGAGTTCTGATGGTGCTGAATGAGTGATAGTTGTGACCAATGCTTGAAGTGGTTGCAGTGATCCTATTGTCACATGACATTAAAAAAACAGCCCTCATTTACAAGTGCAGCACTTCAATTCTCTCTACCTGCGACCTCCCACCATCTCCACTCTGTAATACTATCACCCATCCCTGCCCCTCCTAACTGACCGTTGCCATCTTCTTTCCGCTGCTGGCCTAGGATCCAGGCGCTATGCAAGGACGGAGCTAACAGAGGAAGCAGGGCAATGATGAAGCAGTGGCTCGCTGCCATCTTTACCCAGGGAACCTCTGCCTGCACCACCACCCTTCCTTCTCCACTAGTTCCATTCCACTACTTCCTCCTTGGCTGGGCTCCTTTTGGCAGACAAAGCTGCCAAAAGGTTGTGCTTGCGACCCACATCCCTTGGCTGCAACTTCTCCCAGTGCCTGGGTCCTGGGCCAGCAGTGGGAAGAAGGAGACAGTGAAGGTCAGAAGGAGACAGTGGGATGGCCAAAAGGGGAGAGATGAGGAAGGAAGAGGGGAGTGGGGAGAGTTGAAGCTGAGGCAACTGTGGCAGAGATCTTAATCTAAATATGGTTCAGTCCTCACTGAATGACCACAATCAGGACTTCTGGGACTGCCAAGTGAGCACTACCGGTATTTCAGATTCCTCTAGCTGTTAAATGAATATATATTGCTTAAAAGTGTATGTTCTGAACTCTGATGGCTTTGATGACTGCTATTTCCCCCTCCACTCAGGGAACCGTTTTTAGTTTGGATTCTGAAGAGGAAGAGTTCCATGGAATCATTGCTGAAGACAGCAATGACATCTACATCCTAACTAGTGACAACTCAGGCCAGGTGAGCCCACCTGAGTCACCCACAGTAACATCATCTTGGCAATCAGAGAGCTTACCCGTTTCTTTGTCAGCCAGCCAGAGCTGGCATACAGAGAGCTTGCCAGTTTCATTGGGGCCCGAGTCCTGGCAGCAAGTAGCTATGGATCCTGAAGAAGTGAAAAGCTTGGACAGCAATGGAGGTGGTGAGGAAAGGAGTGAAAACAACTCTTCAAATTCAGATATTGTACATGTTGAAAAGGAAGAGATACAAGAGAGTGTTGACGAGGCAGCAGTGTCAGCAGTGGGCCTGCACACAAGTGCTAAAAAATTGAGCTTGCCAGCGGTCCCAGCTGCATTGCTGAAAATGGAGTCAGAGGCTGAAAGCTTGTTGATTAAAAGACTAAGCCCTTCTGCACCTTTGCCCACTGAGGGTCACAAAGAGGGGAGCGTAGTGGAATATCCTGAACCTGAACCTCTGATGTTGAGTAAAACTGCCAAACAACTAACTCCCTCAAGTGAAAAGGCTTCCCCCATGCCTGAAAAAATACAGCTACCAGAAGAAGAAGCAAAACTACCAAGAGAGAGCTATTCTGAAGAAAAGTCTGCTGATGGAGAGGAAAAACCCCTTCTTTTGCCAGAAGGCAAATCCCTTCTGCTCTATGGGGGGGCAGCTGCAGTAGCTATCCTGGCTGTCGCAGTAGGTGTAGTGCTGACACTGAGGAAGAAGTAGTCACCTCTTCTCATCAGAGATACTGCTTGGATTGGTTGCATTGACTAAGGTTTGCTATACCTCGTGTTAATGAGAAATCTGTGTAACGTGACAGGAAGGTGGGGCATGAGTTTACTGCTAATTCTAGGACAATCATGTTTTTAGTGGCCTGGGACTGGATCTTCCTCTTTAATTATAGGGGTAAACTCCCTTGCACATTTAAGTATCTCAATATATCTGAAGAAATTGTGGGTGGGGAGGTTGCTTATACACTGGAAATCGGATCAGGAAATCCCAGGGTAATGGAAAAATTGTTAACCCTGGAGAATTCCTTTATGTAGCTGCTATTGCAGCTTCTTTGTTCACCTCCACCTCTTGAATGAGAGATTCTCTAATCATGTAGCTTGAGGCTACTTCGTACCCTTTTGTCTCAGCTTCCTCAGGTACTGCATTGCTCCCAAGTTTTATGATTAAACCCCTAAAGCTATGAAATGAAAGCCTTCCCATGTAAGGATGAAAGTATAATGCATTTTGGAGAAAGGTAATGTTGTTTTTCATCATTGTACATTAGGCATTTTTGTGATCTGCTATTGTTGTGTCTCTGTCCCTATCCTTTCCCTATCCCCTCATTCATCCAGCTTTATCGTGTCAGTTTAGTTATCAAAGATACACTCCTTTCATGTAAGTACCTATCACCATGTTGATGAATGCAAAAGAAGAAAATACTTCCATGCGATGGGCAAACAAGTACAAGGCCTTGACCTGACAACCATTAGTTTAGTGACTTACGACCATTTTTTCCACACTTAATGACCATTACAGCATCCCCAGGGTCACGTGATCCAAAGTTGGGTGCTTGGCAGCTGGCATTTATTTATGGCAGTTGCAGTGTCCTGGGGTAATGTGATCACTTTTTGTGACCTTTTGACAAGCAGAGTCAATGGGGAAGCAAGATTCATTTAGCAACAATTTATTAACAACTGCAGTGATTCACTTAACTGTGGCAAGTAAGGTCATAAAATGAGGCAAAACTTACCTGTTTTGCTTAGCAACATAAATTTTGGGCTCAGTTATGGTCGTGCGTTGCATACTACTTCTACAGATTTAATTCAAAATTGTGTTTCAAAATGCAGGAAGTATAAATAGAAGATTTGCTGTTTCTCAGAAAAAGATACTTGCTTTAGAAAGTTTAAAAACAGATGCTATAATGCATTTCTGCAAGTTCCAAAACACTTTGTGTCTAAACCTGAAGCAGTATGGCCCTATGAAATTCCAGAATTTAAAAAGATTAAAATCTGATTTGTTAATTCAGTTGCAAGATTGGAACACTTAGTTTACTTTTATCATTAAATTCAAAATCTTCAAGGAAATGACTCAGCAGTGCATTTTCCCAAAAGCAACTGGACTTTCTTGGGTTTTTCCTTGAAAGCATTTTGCTTCTCATCCAAGAACTGAAGAAGCCTGGATGAGAAGCAAAACGTTTTCAAGGAAAAAAACCCGAGGAAGTCCAGCTGCCTTTTGGAAAAGCACCTTCGGAACAACCATGACCTGGATGATTGGGAATGTCCATAGACATGAAATAGCATTTGTTTCCAATTTCCAGTTTCCTGGCCACTGGAGGCAAAATGATTTGAAACCATGACTTGTATAGCTCATGTAACTTTTCAGGTAACTTTTTGTATGTGTAGACAATTCCTTTCTATTCCATCAGCTATAATTGGGCCCAGGAGAAAATAAATAAAATTGATCATTCACGTCGAATTGTTATTTTGTGTGTGTTGGAAAGCTCTGATGGTGACATTGTCATCAAAAACATAGTACCACAGGTTTTTACTTGAACATCGCAGCAGCCTCTTTTTACATTTTTGGAGATGAGTTACAATTTCCTCTTTCCCATTAAATCTGCTATTAAAAAAAAATCAAATTTGATGATAGAGTTGGGAGTGTTTTAGTTACATCCCATCTCTAGTTAATATGCATGTTTGAGAGACTACACATTTGTGTTCACATACTATAGAACACTTGGTGTAGTAATATAGTATTTACAAGCAAGTCTTGTTTAAATATACTTGCACTTTTCCACAGTACTCTTCATTATGCATTTTTCAGAATGAAGTGCCTCAGTATGTTCCTGTGGGGTTTAACTGTTTTTCCCTTTGTCTTCTGCCCAAAAATATAGTTGTAACCCAGGTTACTTTTTTGTGATGGGAGCAGGAAGATGGAGGAAACTGATATTGGACAAATTGAATAATTGCTGCCAGTATGTTTCTGATACAAGTATTGCCGCTAAAAGATTGCTATATATTTCAACTCTATCTGCATCCTCTGAAATAAACTTATATTGATTTTTACAGTAAATTACGGAGGAAATACAGGTAGTCCTTGTCTTACAACAGTTCATTTAGTGACTACTCGAAGTCAGAACAGCGCTGAAAAAAAGTGACGATTTTTCACATGACTCTTGCAGGATCCCCATGGTCCCATGATCAAAATTCAGACACCTGGCAACTGACTCATATTTATGATGGTTGCAGTGTCTTAGGATCATGTGATCACTTTTTGGGACCTTCTGATAAACAAAGTCAATGGGGAAGCCAGATTTACTTAACAACTGTAATGATTCACTTAAGAACTGTGGCAAGAAAGATTGTAAAATAAGGCAAAACTCACTTAACAAATGTCTCTAACAGAAATTTTGGACTCAGTTTTGGTCTAAGTCGAGGACTACCTGTAATCAGTGTAAGTTTAAATATCAATCCATTTTGTCTGATTTCAGCCATGTCTATTTGAACAGGAGGTAATGGACTGAACACCTGAGATACCTTCTTACATTTCCAGGATGATTACTTATAGCCACGCTCATTCATAGGATCCAATATCTCAATCAATAAACAGTGAGTGCTAAGCATTAGAATTAGGGGGAATTATGAATTGATCCTTTCAAATATATTACAACTTGGTTATAGATTACCTAATTTCCGAATTTAAGGGGGAAATCCTCCAGTTTGAATATTGGTGCTTCATAATGGACTAGACCTTGGTTAAGATGTGAAAACTTGTATTTGGTTTTTTGGAACTGCAGTTATTAATTCTGTAGAAATCATTACCATATATTTCACAGTGCTAGTGAAATGAAGACAAAGTAAAGGAATACCAGTAGGATCTCAATACATGTCATGTAACTGTCACTTCAAAATATTTTGTTCTGCAATAGCTATAATGTTGTTGGACTAAATGCTGCAAACTACACTTACTTTCTCCTTCCTGCTGCTTCCATTGGGGGAAAAGGCTACTGAAATACTAGTTTCCTTCATGTGGATGTACTTTTTGGTTCCTGAACTTCCTGCTGTGGATGTCCTGCAAAAGTTCTTGAAAGCAAAAGAAGTGTTCTGCTTGCTTAGTGTTTTGCACAATAAGCTGGAGCGGGGCAATTATTTTAACAAATAGATGCTTCAGTACCCACTTGTGCATATCTGAAGCATTTCTACATTGTGACTTTTAATCTGGTTGGAAAGCTGCCTGTCTGACCTTGTTTGTACATTGACCCAGGAAAAGAGATTTGCCTGTATTTAAGGCTTGAAAACCTTTCCAAGAATTCATAGAGCCCTAAAATAACCCATACTAGTTAAAAAAAAATAAGGCATTGAATGATTTCTTCTTGAAATACTGTTTTTACTTTGTGCTAACAGTTTCATGAGGAGCGCAACTCTTCTTCCTAGCATTGGACATGTTGAGGCAGAGTGGTATTTCCTTAAGCTGTATGACCATAATTATTTCCCTGGAGCTATTTTAAGAAACACGAGGAGGAGGGCAGACATAATCATCTTATTGTTACAGGCTTCTATATAAATTGAAAAATACTGCCTCAAGTGTTAAAAACAAGTGTTCCTACTGTTTATAAAAGATTATCTGTATTTTTGCTTGACCAATAATCTCAAGTAAGACTACACCCTTATTTGTATTTTATTAAAGTTAAATTTTGAAGAAAAGGTGTGTGGGTTTTTATTAGCTGGAGCAAAACATACTATTTTAAAATTTTATTAGTTGTAAAGAAAGAACGGCTGTAAAATGTAGTAGGCCTTCCACATGTTGGTTTTTCCTCAGATATAATCCATACTCTGCTCAGAAAGCCTGCACAGCTGAAAAATCAAAGCACACCACACAAAAAAGAGCCATATCTATTTAAATAGTTAGTATGTTCATTCAAATGATCCAATATCTCAACCAATAAACAGCAAGATTCCATTGCTCTTGCCAGAACAAATTAGAATTTTTCAGATTACTTGTCAAACATCCATTCGTCTAAATTACATTGTCAAAGACAATCGTATAAACCTTTCAAGTCAATTGAGAGAATGTAATGTTTTTGTAAACAATTTGACTTCCAACTTAATTCCTAATTTTAATACAGAGACCTTCATCAAATCTTTAAAAATTGTACAATGGCTATCGGTTATTTCCCTCCCATTAAAATCTGTACTCCAACAATGGCCAAATCCAAAGCAGAAAGAATTACAAAATAATTGACAATTACTGTATTGGTGTACAGGTGAAACTCAAAAAATTAGAATATGTGCAAAAGTTCATTTATTTCAGGAACGCAACGTAAAAGGTGAACCTAATATATGAGATATATTACATGCAAAGCAAGATAGTTCAAGCCGTGATGTCATAATTGAGATGATTATGGCTTACAGCTCATGAAAACCCCAAATCTACAATCTCAGAAAATTAGAATATTGTGAAAAGGTTCATTATTCTAGGCTCAAAGTGTCCCACTCTAATCAGCTAATTAAGCCATAACACCTGCAAAGGGTTCCTGGGCCTTTAAATGGTCTCTCTGTCTGGTTCAGTAGGAATCGCAATCATGGGAAAGACTGCTGACCTGACAGTTGTGCAGAAAACCATCACTGATACCCTCCATAAGGAGGGAAAGCCTCAAAAGGTAATTGCAAAAGATGGATGTTCCCAAAGTGCTGTATCAAAGCATATTAAGAGAAAGTTATGTGAAAGGGAAAAGTGTGGAAGAAAAAAGTGCACAAGCAGCAGGGATGACCGGAGCCTGGAGAGGATTGTCAGGAAAAAGCCATTCAAAAGTGTTGGGGACTTTCACAAGGAGTGGACTGAGGCTGGAGTCAGTGCATCAAGAGCCACCACACACAGATGGATCCTGGACATGGGCTTCAGTGAACAACAAACATCAGAAACGTCTTACCTGGGCTAAAGAAAAACATAACTGGTCTATTGCTCAGTGGTCCAAAGTCTTCTTTTCTGATGAGAGCAACTTTTGCATCTCATTTGGAAACCAAGGACCCAGAGTCTGGAGGAAGAATGGAGAGGCACACACTGCAAGATGCTTGAAGTCCAGTGTGAAGTTTCCACAGTCTGTGTTGATATGGGGAACCATGCCATCTGCTGGTGTTGGTCCACTGTGCTTCATTAAGTCCAGGGTCAATGCAGCTGTCTACCAGGAGATTTTGGAGCACTTCATGCTTCCTTCCGCAGACGAGCTTTATGGGGATGCTGACTGCATTTTCCAGCAGGACTTGGCACCTGCCCACACTGCCAGAAGCACCAAAACCTGGTTCAATGACCCTGGGATTACTGTGCTTGATTGGCCAGCAAACTCGCTTGACCTGAACCCCATAAAGAATCTATGGGGCATTGCCAAGAGAAAGATGAGGGACATGAGACCAAACAATGCAGAAGAGCTGAAGGCTGCTACTGAAGCATCCTGGTCTTCCATACCACCTCAGCAGTGCCACAGGCACTGCTGCAA